ATCTTACTTAAGAGGGTGTTGTAGTGGCTGGGATGTCAAAATTTAACTATAGCCATTGAACATAACTGACAAATCCTTGACCATTTGGTAGTAAAATAATTATTTCAACAAACTAAAAACTAAGGCTCTGTTTGAATATGCTTTTTCTTATGTACTTTGGGCTATGAGAAACAAAAATGAACCAAAAAATGTTTTGAGCATTTGGTAAGAATTGCTTTAAACATATAGCAATTTAAAGTTAAAATACTTAAAGACTTAAAGAGAACAAGTCCTGAATCTTATACAAACACAACCTAAAACTCATGGACATTTTCTATGTAATGTCTGTATATTCTCCATTATGTACTATTAACAGGTTTAAGCAAGTTGTTATAAATAAACCCAAAATTAGCATATTAACTTTCCATGTAGTTCATGAGAAAATCAAAGAAAACTATGGTCTGGTGGAAACTTTGAAATTTCAAAAATGTTATTTTACAAAATAGGATAAAATAAAAGATAAGACAAAAAAATAAAATAAAGTGCCAACCATGTAATTAGACAATCAAAAACCAATAAAGCTTAATATGTAAAGTAATTAAGTCTCAACGCAATGTCATAAACTTCTATTATGGTATAGTAAGTTTAGCATGATCATGTGGTTAAAAACCTAATTATGCATGTATCTTTCAATAACATATTGGCTTGTAGAAGAATTATTATATCAGCAAGTGAAGAATACATGTATCTAATTGAAGAGATGGTCTGAGAAAGTAAAGAATATATAATTGGAGTAAGATGATGGGCTAAAGTTTTTTACCTGACTATGTGCATGAATCACCAAGTTGATTGGTGGTTCAGCTCTGACATTATCATCCCAAATTTTTCTTTCTTTTAAGATGCTTTATTTAGTTTCTGTTAAATTTATAGTCTACTCCCCTTCAGAATTTTTTTTTGATTTTCTAAATGTTTTGTCCCAAATTCCCACCTATCCTATACCATCCCCCTTGAATTGTGATGGATCCCCCCCCACTGCCAACTATACAAACTCATAAAGATGGACTGAACAATAAAAACCCCTATAAACAAAATGGGTCATTCTAAAAATCACCCTTAATAATTAAAAGAATAAATTATATATAGATGTCTAATATATTAAGGAATAACTTACAAGCCCCTCTTTTACAAAATTTGAGAATCATCTTTCTCATATAATAATATATAATTTAAATTAATGGATTAGAATGAAACAGTAAAACGTTTTTTTTTCATGAAATAGTAGAATTAAAGAGATGAAAAGAATCTATATAGTCTGCCCTAAGGATGGACTACAATCCCCTCCCTTATAGCAGACCTAGTTTACATTCCCAAAACCATGTTCCCTCCCATTCAGTGGATCCTTAAAAGACAAAAGGAGAAAAAGGAAAAGGAAAAACGAATTTAAAAAAAAATTGATTATATATTTTCCTTTCAATATTTTTTTTCTCGAGATTATTAATTTTTTAAAAGCAGATTCTACAGACAAGAATTTTTACAGGCTCTAGCATCTAGACATTATTTATCACTAGGAATGAATGGCTCACAAAGCAAAATTATCTAATTGACAAAATAATAATCGATCAAATCAAGGAAGATTTTCAGTCCCACGGTTGATGATCTACCTACAGTCAAAGTGGAAAAGTATATTCTCCAAATGAGGTGAAAGTCGATCTGTCCAGGGCAAAAGATAGAAGCTTCACATGAAGGATGTACCACACGGCCGACTCATTATCAGTATACTCTTCTGAGAAAGCAACAATCTTGGCCCCATATGGTAGCCTTAAGCTCATGATATCAAGGTCGGTTAAGGGCTAGCTAGCTGCATCGCTGTACTGTCAAGGAGCCAGCACAGTAACCCACTGTGTTAGATCTCCAAATTAAGATGAAGAAGCTGTACCCACTTATAGGTTGGGCACTTGGGTGGATTGCCATAAAAAAAATGGTGGATTTCAGTTCATAGTTCAGACAGCTCGACGTGCACATCGTGCAATGGGCCTACCCAATGTGGATAGCAGCAGGTAAACAACACGCATGATGCTTAATATGGGGAAGAACAGTCTTTACTCTTTACTACTATCACCTCATTACTGATTGGTAGGTTTAATTTGATTCCTACTTTGAACCCAGCCGTATCAGTGGCAGGATCGGTTCCATTCATACTAACATTAATAAGGTTGCGTTTGTTTTTGTTAGAAAATAAAACCTATTCAAGAATCTTATTTAACAGTTTAAGCTTTTATGTTCAACGGTTCTTTGAGATGAGTGGGCTTATGCTGTTCATGCTTCAAGCCCAATGGGCCCTTATGTAAGGAGACATGTTAGAAAATAAAACCTATTCAAAGACTTCACTTAATAGTTTAAGCTTTTAGGTTTAATAGTTTTTTAAGAGATTTTAATGACATAACAGTAGAAAAAGAAAATAAAAGATAGAGAAACCTTTACAAAACCCTTCCTCTCCCTACCCTTTACTTCAAATCAAACATAACCTAAATAAGTTCGGATTTTGACAGATTATACAACAGTATTAGATGAAATTCATTTAGCTTCCATGCCGCGTGAGAATCTAACCACAACATGAACAGATGATTGAAGTGAGACCTGGGTCACTGATCAGATTATTTCCATATACAAAGTGGTGTGCACTTTTCTTTCATGTCACCTGAACTAATGCCGTGTACTAAGTGGAGTACGCTTTTTTTTTCTTCATTAAAATACGTGGGGCTAATCCATGGTGATCCCATATATATGGTGGGGTTCATCATTTAATTGAATATATATGTCTTAAACTAAAATAACTATGCTATTGATGTTTTGGCTAGTAGTCCTCCTCCTTTCTTCCTTATGATTGTCTATTTCATTATTTCAAGATTCTAGTTCTCTGGTGCTTTTTGTTGTAAACAGTGAATGATTGAGTGTGGAATAAGTTTCACTATTGGGTGGGGCCAAGGGTTGGAAGTTGGAACCATCTAGACACACCTGACTAGATCCGCATCCAATGTGTGTGACAAGGTGTATGTACATGTGCATGTTCTGATTAGACTTGAGGCATTAGCAAACTTCATTCATAGTGACTGGCTGGCTGTTAGTACTTGGGAGAGGGTTTATGGGGAACAGAAGAGCTGCAGAAACGCGCGGGAAGCCGACCACCATTACCATTTCCTTTTGGATACGAACCTCAAAGAGTGTCAAAAGATTGCTTTAGCCCAGACTTGGGTATCAGTTATGAGGATCGATCCAGTAGTGACTGGTGAAGGAGGGTACTTTTGTTATTCATGTGATCTAGTAAGCCAATTGCATCTTGGAGTATTCAACAAAATACCCTGAAAATTAATGGTTTCTTCCCACCCCAAAATCATTACTATTGAGACTACTGGTTAGTGTGTTTGAACGGTAATGGTTGAGGGTACGTACACAGTCACACACCCATGACCCAATCAGGATGAAGTTGAAATAGTTGTGTTCTTCAGCAAAATCCAGATTAGGTTGGGAAACTTGAACAAGGATCAAATCAAGGGTTGCTAAATGCTACCCCTAAATTCCTTTTTATTTTATTTTGGTGCAGTTACTGTGGATAATCTTCCAAAGATTCAATCAAAGGAGATTCTTAAAGGGGATCTCATATCCATGTTAATGCCATTAGATAACATTAATTGAAGAAAGGGGATGATGTTTATCACAGCTTAATTTATCTTCCCCATTTGGGGCAAAAGGGTTCAGATTGAAGAGTATAACGCAGAATAAGAAGCATTCCACCAAACACAAGGTAAAAAAGGATCATTGGAGGAGAAGATCGCTAGTGCTATCTTTTGATTGTGAGGTGGACAACCACATGTATAACAGAAGTTCATAAAATGATGGTGTTATAGAATGATGAAGCCTTTGCTGTCAATAGCTAGTACCACTACTTGGGAAGTTGGGAAGAGAAGAGTGAGAAGATCAGTGGTAAGGGGAAGATAAGAATGTAAAATAAATGGGCAAAACCAGATGCCAAACAGTGTAAAATAAGCCAACACCATTCATTACAACTCGTGATTGGTTGATGTTGGTCAATGAAAGCTTCAATCTCCCATCTAATGATTAGAAAATTGAAAGGCCATGGTTTTAAAACTTGGTGAAATTCACCAAAGTTTCAGATATTATATTAAAATTAATAAAATCAATAACATATATATATAGAGAGAGAGAGAGAGAAAATAATATCAAATACTTTAAAACAATTAAGATCTATCTAAAAGTTGTTCCAAAATTTCACAAAGAATTCATTTCAATTTTGGGTCCAAGTTAAAATTTTTGAAATTTGAAACCTTGGGGAAGACCACACTACCAAATACCCAATGATAGGGATGAAAAAGGAACATACTGATCTCTTTTTGGAGACAAACTAGACCGTCTTGTTTAAGAATTCTAAGGCATCTAGGCTTTCTCTTTGACCAAACCTTACTTTTTTTTGGGTTAGCTGATCGATCATCATCCAGCACATTTCATAAAGAAAAATCTATGATCTATAAATATCTCTTACTATGCCAATATCCTTGAGTGCTAGGATCTGTTGAGATGTCTTATTACAACAAAAATGAAAGATTGTGACCATACTTTCGTGGATGGTTTAGCTGGTACACAAAACAGCTTTACTCACAAATTCATTAATTGATAAAAAAACAAAACCATATGATGGGCTTTTGCAATAGGAACATGAGAGGAATGGCCATCTTTTGGTGACATTCTCCCATATCAGTGTATAGGCGAGTATCTGTAAAAAACAAGGGTGAACACCTGAACCCAAAAATAGAACCATAGACCCCCAGCCACCATACCCAATTATTCCACCATACCCATGCATTTTCTAAGCATATCTCAATGCATATTCTTAAAATTGTCTTTTCCAATACCCTGCAATAGATATTAACAATACATAGGGTGGTTCTAGGTATTATTATAGTTGAAAATATCGAAGTCTTCCGGTGTAAATCATGGAAACATGATACGATTCAATGCTAATGTAACTACACTGCATTATTGCTCCTATGAAATCTTAAAGTTTCACCCAAATCTACTGAACAGAGATCTTGGGCAAATGACTTTATGTGCATAAGTTCTTTTGCAACAAAACTCCTTTTAAATTAGGGCTAACCTGGCTATGGCCTTGTCAATTATTAAAAGCAGACTTCAAAAAACCTAGTAAGCACCCTATGTCCAAGGGTATAACTTCTTAGACAAACAAGAGTAAGACATGCCCTAATGTCTATGAATGGGTAGACAAAATACAATTTCCGGTCTTTCAGCAATTGCCATAATGTATTTCTAGTTACCATATTTTATGATTTGTTAGACATTTCACTTCACTTGGATCAACAGACTATATGCCACTACCTACTCTGCCTCGGCAATTGCTCTCTCCTAGGAAATAGCAACAGTGAAACCGCTACATGGCATGGTTACAGTGGGTTTCTGTTCACATCCTTGTATAGCAAGTACCTTGTCCTGGTTTTCCCAAGTGCAGCATACCTAAAAATGTTGAGGAATATATTAGTTTGCCCCCAAAGCACTGCCTACTATTTGGAAGGACTCAAAAGAACATACAGATCAAAAAATAATTTAGATACGAAAGGATTCAAGAGAATCTTATGCATAAACCCACTTACCATTGAGGCACAAATGGTGCCATCCAAATGGCATCACCAGCTTGAACAGGGTACCTGTTTTCATGAAAAATTGAGTAGAACTGAGGAAAGATAATATATACATATGCAATAAATATTCAAAGAAGGCATGCACATAATGAACTTAATGTAGAAATTCCTTTTTTTAAAGAAGCTTAACCTTTGTTGTGTTGCAAATTTCATCATACATGTAAGAAAAAAGTACTAACTAAGAAGTAAAGGGTAGAGGTGTAAACCAGGCCATGCTGGGCCAGCACGGAACAGCCCGCATGTGGCCCACACAAAGAGTAGGTCGCGCCATGCTGGCCCGTGGGCCAAGCCAGGCTGTGCTTCCCTCCCCTAGGATAATTTGGGGGGGTTGGCCCGGCACGGCCCACAGCCCGAGCCCGCAAGGACCCGTGCTATGCCACTAGTTTGAGCCAGGTGGGCTGCAGGCCATGCCATGGGCTTGGGTCGTGCGAGGCAGGGCTATGGGTTGGGCCTTGGGCCTAGGCCAAACCAGGCCATAAAGGCCCAGACTTTTTTTTTTACATTTTGATTTTTTTTAATATTTTTGCAAAGTAAAACTAAAATACTTAACTTTCCCTTGGGAACAAATTGAAAAAATAAAAAATCTAACGATGAAATGAAAAAAAAATACTTACCAAAATACAAAATGGACAACAAATTGGAAAAAAAAATAGGACTTTTATTTCATTTGAAATATAAAAAATACAAGTTTAAAATTAAAAGAAAAAAATTGCATTGCTGAAAAATAACAAATAATTTAAATAAAATTGAAAAAATTACTCCATATCCTTGACTTTAATCATTTGCTTCATCAGGTTTAGAAGTGCCATTGTCATGCCCTCCTTTGTCTTGTAATTTATCCTCAGCATCCAACAAATCTTTAAAGTAGATGTCTTTTTCTTGTTTCTCATAGAAGAGCAAATGTCTATCCAAGTGCCTAATGCTACCCTTGCTACTAAAGTTAAAGCCAATCCTACATTTTTGGCAAACAACTCTTTTTCCTTTCCCCTCAACCTCCTCTATTTTTAATATTTTCCAAATCGGGCTAGTGAACTTAATGTTAGGGAATTGGTTTTGGGAGGAGGAGCTGGCCTTTTTTTAATTTAAAAATAAATAAATACTAGTTTAGTTGCACTTACCCAAATGGCCGGATTATCGGTTCAAAATCTCAACTTGATTTCAATGGTTGAAGCCTCAAAGCCTCCTCCTAAATTGCTAAGTGTATGATAGCATGAGACTATATGAGATGAGAGTAGGGGTGTTCAAATTCGGTTCTTAAATTGAAAACTAAACTGAGCCGAACCAAATAAATCAATTCGGTTTGGTTTAAGAAAAAAATTCAACCGAACCATACCAAAATAAATATATAATTTATATTTTAATTATAAATATTAATATTAATATTAACATTGTTATTTATATTAATAATAATATAAAATATGCATTTAATTATAAATTTTGATACATTTTAATAATAATTATTAATATAAATATAAAGTATAATTATATTTTAGCTAACCAAGGTCACCAAATTAAAACCAAACCAAACTGATTTAAATTCAGTTCAGTTCGTTTGGTTTGAAGTCTAATTCGGTTCGGTTCAGTTCACGAAAATGACCTAAGCAAAATGTCAGTTAGGTTCTATTTCCAAACCAAACTGACTGAATGAACACCCCTAGATGAGAGACTAAGAGTATAAGAATTGAGAAGAGAATTGCTGAATTTGTGTGATGAGAATGGTGGAGGATAGGGCTATTTATAGGTATTGAAAATAATTCAATTGCCCAAAATACCTTAAAACTAGCCATTTTTTAGTTGTTGGGAGGGTATTTTGGTTATTATAAAGTTGTTTATCACTTTAGCCAAATGCCCCCAAAGTCCCAAACCAACTGTTATGTAGGATATAGCTGTTGGAAGGGCATTATTGTCTTTCTCTTCCCCCCCCCCCCAAAGCCAAAATACATAAATACCCCCTTATATAGCTGTTTATAGGCTTATAGTTGTTGATTGAAGGGGTATTTCTATAAAAAACCCCTAAAAAAGTTGAAACTAGCCATTGGGGAGGGGGTCCCCAAGGGCCCCAACAGCTAGTTGCTTGGACGGGCTGCACTTGGCCCATTGCAGGCCCATGGGCTGTGCCAGCCCATGGACCTGAAACCCCCAACCCAGCATGGCCCACGTGCCACCTTGTCAGGCCAGTCCAAAATCGAGTCGGGCTGTGCCAAGCCATGGGCGGCACGGCCCGATTTATGCCTCTAGTAAAGGGGAAAAATGAAGTCAAGGACAAGGTACAAAACAAGTCCAAGTGTATAAACAAAAAAATTCAAATGGAAAGTAATGGAAGAGCTAACAGATGCATATACTGAAACCTAATCCCAACTGTGTGAAGTCAGCTGCACCTGCACATACCCTGTTTTGCAATTTATCTGAACATAAAATTTTTGCCAATCTATAAATCAAGAAGGCCCTGAGACCTCATGAGGAAAGTGGGGCATGGTCTGATGGGCTCTATTTATAAGCCCAGTCAGCTGAGGTTCATCTACTCAAGAAGGCAGTTGAGAATGGGGTTTATTAGGCGAACTCCTCGGTTAATGGTAACAAAGTGAGTTGCTTGATGATAACATTGACTCTCCTGTTCAATATGGGGATAATGATGCAATCCCAATCATCAAGGTGTGCACCAAAGTTGGTCTTTTACAAACCCTGTGAGGAAAGGATCAAGGAAACCAAGCCAATCTCAGTTTCCCCTTTCGCAGTGGCATGTATTGCTCCAAAACATACCAAGGACTTGAATTCCCAGGGGGATTACCCAATCATGGTGGATGTGTGGATGTGCCACAGCCACACCCCCAATTTGGGGACATCACTCCTCGACCCCTTTGTGCAAAAAAAATTGACATTATGTCTGTTTTATTTCACTCCTCTCAAGACTTCAGGTAGTTGGGACCAACATTGAATAATGGTCCCCAAGAAAGTTCTCATTCTTCAAGTGGAGACTCATCAGACTCTCAAGAAGAATTATGTGTTTGACAAGAAGAAATATGCCAAGCATGATGATAGGATGATCCAGAGTCTCTTAAAGAATGGCTGGAATAGGTAGGATGATTAATGTTTTCTTCACGGGTGGAGAATGAAAAGCAGAGGCGCTTTTTCATGTCTGGAGGAATGGAATCAGTTAAAAGCAGTTGAGGAGATTTTGGATGCTGTGGTTGAAGAGAGTGATAGAATCTTGAAGAGGATAGGGACTGAGAGAAATGGCATGTCTGAGGAGACCAAACAGGTAGAGGTCTTGGTAGATCAAGATCAGGCTTTATTGGATTCACTATTCTTCTTCAATTAATAAGGGAGGTCAAGGAAAGGGCAGGCTGAGGTAGTAGGGTAGTATAAAAGGGAAGCATTAGGGGGCCGAGAGGAAAGGTGCATTGGTGTCTAGAGCAGCCATTCTGAATCATTAGGGAGCCGAGAGGACAGGTAGCATGTGAAGAGGCCAAGCAGGTTGAGGTCTTAGCAGATCAAGAGGAGGCTTATTGGATTCAATGTACTTCTTCAAGTAATAAGGGAGGTCAAGGGACGAATGGCTGCTGAGGTAGTAGGGTGGTAGGGAACTAGGGATAAGGGTCCAACAGGAAGGGCCATTAAATCTTGATTGTACATTGGTCTCTAGGATAGTTACTCTGAATCTTTAGGAGGTGGTATTTTTTGAGTTTTTCTTTATTACATGGCTTTTATGGAAAAAAGGGTTGTGGCACAAAACCCAGAAATACAGATTCAAATGGCACACAAAAACAAAGTAAAACAAAGATAAAGAGAAGGAAGAAACAGAGAACAGACAGATTTACGTGGTTCGGCTTATAGCCTACATCCACAGGCAAAGGAGCAAAAATCCACTATAGAAATCAGCAATGGAGAATACATAGTTGTGCACAACCTCTCTCACAGAAACCCTAAACCCCAATATACCTAAATCTCTCTCACTCGACTTCTCTCTCAAGCCAAAGAATACATAAAACGGAAAATCCCCAAATTACATAATTTAGCGTATTCGGGTCAGACACATAAGCTGAATATGAATCAGGTCCAACTCAACCCCTATGCTTCCACCACAAACCACTATGGAAATTTTCCTTTGGGTTTTTCTAAACTTGATTCAGAGTGGGTCATGAAACAGGTCACAAACAAAGAATTCAAGGCACAAACATAACAAGGGTCTATTTTTAGAGGCTCCCTTGGGGTTCCTTTTGGTGGTGTTTTTCTAAGCTGCCTGAGCTTGTTGGGGTGATTCATTCTATATCTTTATATAGGGGCATTATTGTGTGTGTGTGTGTGTGTTATATTGCCTTTTCCCCTTGGTGGTTTCTGTTTTCTTCACTTGGTATCACCTTTTTCTTCTGATAGCTAATAATGAATTCTATTACCTATTAAAAAAAGGAATACTATAAAATAAATACAAAAGATCAAGAAAAGATAATAAATAAATATGAAATAGGAAGGTAAGGAAAGTGCATAAAGAGACATGATTGTAAAAGAATTTTTTGAAATTTATACTTTTACTTAAATTTCAATTGAAATGTGAAACTTTGCTAAGAAATTTACTAAGATTGCAGTCCTCAGACATCTTGAAACGCAACAAAATTTAAATCTCACTTATAGTTGACTTAAATTGAATTGCACCATGCTCTTCCCTTAATTAACACGAATTTTAGTTGATGTACCAAATTTTGCTCAGAAAGGAGAATTGAGCTGGATTCTTCTCCACACCCAGAAAATACAGATTGAATGTATAACAAATGCTAGATGGTTGATTAATCAGTTTCAAAGTATAAGTTTTTCAACAATGGTTTTAGGAACATCCAAGTACCACAAACCTATCAACTGTCAAAATAACAATCATACCAGCTGTCACCCAAGCGATAAATTCCTTGTCCCTCTAGAAGCAACAAGCCATGCTGATTATAATGGACCTCCTGCCAACAAAACAAGCCGAAGTATTAATTTCACCTTTTCAGGACTGTGTAGGCATTATTATTGTATGGTCATGCAAATGTAAAAGGGAAACATTCACTCTAGTTTCATCAAGCAAGAAAGGAAAGTATACCTTCACATTAAGATACTCTCCAGGTTGGAAGTCCATGATCTACAAAAATGAGGAAACAAATTCATTCAATTATATGGAAGAAAAAAAAAGGTTCTGGCTGAAAATTAAAAAAAAAAAAACATATATTCCATTCATCCAAATAAGTTTAGACTTGATTCCTTTTATCAAAAATGGGTGTGTATACACACAAAACTCAGATCTTCACATGTATGCATATCCGAATGACAAGCATATATGGACATGTATACTGAACCTTGAAGTTCAGAGCAATTCATTTTGTACAAATAGATACCCAGGATTTCTTTTACAAATTTGGGAAGCCCCTCAAGCAGTCTCCTCTAGACCTTTAAGGAAACTGGTTCCAAGTCTACAACTATAAGTCCAAATACTTGATAATGGAAACTCTGCCCTTTTAATCACATGCTACCCCAAGATATCATTATGTCAGAGGATTTAGTGGTGACCAGTAATAAGGTAAGACAAAAGCCCAAAGTTTTAAGTTACGAGTGTCAAATAGGATTCTGGGGCTAAGCTATTATATTTTAAGTAATATGTTTTATGATATAATCTTAATTTGTATAAATAATGGACAGGTTCAAAAATAAATAAATTTGTAGATGGATAAACCAGTGTAAACACTAAGCAAATAAATATTGATTATACCAAATTATCAAGTATTAATCCATCATTTATGTCCAAATTTTACTGCAAGAGTTTGATGTACTGTACTAATCACATATTACAGAAGTGACAGAGTCCAAGTGTTGTATCAGCATCAGTGTAGATAGGGCTCTCAATGGGCCAGCTATACCTGGCAGACCCGGACCAACCAAACCGATTATAGCAGTTCTGGTTCTGTGGTCTTGTCCCGATTAATAATTGGGTTGGTTCTGGTTCTTGTTCCGAACTGACTCTGATCTGAACCGATTATTTTGTCAATAATATATAAAGGTTTTCTAGGTTTTTTGTATTTTTATTGTATTTTATGTGTAAGAGTATAAATTTGAGAGGTAATATATAAGATAATTTTGATTAAAAATACTTGATTTATTAATATATAAATAATTTATTATTTTACTGTCATATTTATTAAATTATATTATCATATAAATAATTTTTAGTTTGTTATTTATTTAAATAATTATAGCTGCCAGTATAATTGGGTCTAATCAAGTCAGACCCAGTTATCCTGATTATTAATCGGGATGGGACTAGTACAGGCTTTCCCAAACCAGACCCGGCCGTTGATAAGTGTAGACACATATCTGGCAGGGGAACAGCAAACTATATGAAGTTTCCATATAACATAGCTTGCTGGCAAAATTGGTGTACATGTCTTCAATCTCTTGGCATTTCAACCTTAATGAACAAATTATATCATCAAAAAGAATGGAAGCCAACATCACTTCCAATTTTAGAGATTGCTCATAGATACCCTTTCTTGCAGATAACCATTTCTTTCTTACAAGAACTTTTACCTTTTCTTGGACAACCAGTAAAAGAATTTCTTAGAAAAATATATATGCTACTAATAAATTTAACAAATTGTAGGAAGTCAACATAGATAAAATAATCCATGGAGATTATGCCATCAGATTAGAGAAATGATATCTTTGATATCCATATTGAATCCTTGTTTCAATGGATTTCAAGATCAGACAATTTGATATTTGATAAACTTCATACGCAGGTAGTATTGAACAGTGAGCTACTCTAGGTCCTTTGTTGAACAGTGTCACTTGTATATGTTATATGGGAATACCCAAATTCTGGACCTAAATTGCTCCTGATTTCACTTAGTTCTCTCTCTCCTCCTTTTGTGTGTTAAGCACAGGCCTCTTACCTATCTTATGCTTTTGCCATTTTTATCAATACAATTCACAGTTATTGATCAGTGAAGAAGATATGGTAGAAAATCTTCTGTGCGAATCCCCATACAATTTATGAAGTTTCTCAATCTCTAGTAATCACTTTCATCTTTTGCCAACTGATGGTGTTTTCAAACAACCTGCCACTTTTAATTTCCACATCATTCCAATCATTCAATTGGACCTAAAGGATTGTTGGACCAATTTCCCCACCTCTAAGAATCCCTGGAATTTAGTCCAGCCTACATCGTAAAGAAAGCTAACATCAATTATTTACTTGACCCAATGTCCCAATCTATTCCAGAACCTATGATATAGATGGGGGTCCTTTCACCACATCTGTACTGAAAATAGATGGAGGTCAACAAACAGTAGTATAAAGATACAATATTGAATAATTTAACTCATGAAGTAATTATATTAGATACAACATAGAAAAAAACTAAGACATGTTGCCATGGAAAATTATTAAGAAAATGAGAGAGAGAGAGAGAGAAAGCTCACATGGATATTGAAATCATAAGGTGTTGATGCAGGCAGAAGTTTCCGGAGCTCAAAAACCTGAAACAGGTAACAATATTAAAGAATTTTTTGAACTACCAATAGAAATATTAAGAGAAGAAAGTAAAACTGTCATGAACTCCAATAATACAAAGGAGCCTGATTAATACAAAAGCCTAATAATAGATCAAGTGTTTATTTATTTATTTATTTTTCACAATGATCAAGTATTTATTGATTAATTGGGTAAAAAAATAATCAGGGCAACAGACATTAACACCAAAAGTTAGACATTTGTTCATTTCTCAAAAATATGAGGAAAAAGCAAGGAATTTAGCATCTATCAGGAAACTCTTGCCAAAAAGTTGTTAAGAATGAACTTTTTACCATATCAGTAGAATAAAGAAGAAATTCCATTTGAGGATTAAAAGATTATAAGAAAATTCAGCAACCTACCTCGCCTGGAGTTTCCAGGAGCTGTTGCATGTCTGTTGAGCCAACAATTTTCTCAGGTACATGATTTTCCAAATTAGCATACCTAAAAAGAAGAATTTTTTTGTGGCACATTATATCAATAAAAGAAAATTGATACAGAAACATTGGATGGTGATCAAAATGTAAGACCAGCCAATGAGATAAATAACACAAGTCCTGAATCATAAACAAATTAAATTTTTCCATGATTATTGATAATGTTAGATAAGTAACAGATCATAAATTCATATCCAAGACCTTCTAGCAATGCACAATTATTGAGCATATAAAAAACTATATTGAAAGGACGAAGGAGAAAACATCAAATGACAATGGTGGATAATGTAAAGAAATAAGTACCTTCGTTCAAATACAACAAGAGTTGCTGACACATCACACTTCAGAGAATGTTCAAAATTAGCAGGTAGATATGCATACGAATCCACCTAATTTCATGTGCAAGTTATGTCAAGAGATGTTCAGATTTCTTTGTAAAATAGGAAATAGAATTTATTTCAAATAATTGCTTATGAAGCTCAAAATCTCATGTATTAATACATCTATATTGCTATCTATGTTTGGTCAGAAAGAAATTAGAGCTTAAGAGACAGCAAGCACAAGACAATGAAATCAGAGCTTAAGAAATCACCTTTCTAAGCATATTCAGATGACAGACTAGTTTTATCTTTTTCCTTTTTGTACTTGGGGGTGTTGGAGTTGGTGAGGAGGTTTCTCTTGATTCTGATTTTGATACTTCAAGGGCTTATACCAATACAAATAGTATTTACTCGCAATCAATAGAACAGTTCCAGTTGTCTTAATTAATTGTACAAAAAAATCACAAAACTTTTATGTTCCAAACCAACAAAAATAGTTTTGTAAGACCTAGAATTTTATAGTTGAGGAAAATTATCAGGATAAACTGGAGAGAGTAGAAACTATTTTGACAAATAAAGGAGTTGAGTTTGTAAAACAAGAGAAAAATAAGTAGATGATGGCATAACTAATTTGGGGTTTATCAGGCTTTTCTTTTGCCACTTTATCAATAGAAGAGAAAAATTGTTGAAATGAAGGAAAGAAGATTGATACAAAAGCAATTATCAAAAAAAAAAAAAAAAACACAAAAACCTCCCTAATAACATAAAGATGGAAGGACAGGCCCCAATATCACAATGCAAAAACAAAAATTAATAAGATAAAAATATTAAGCCAATGAGAGAGGTCAAGTCACTTCTCTCAACACCTCTCCTAGCAAGCTATCAATCACTAAGTTGGACAACCAAGAAATCTGTCCAAAGTCCAAACGATCTTTCCACTCTAGAAGCTGAGAGTTGGGCTTCCTAATTGTGATGATGCAATAAGCAGGGGCTTCCAGGATAATGTTGCATCCATCCCACAAAAACTTAGGAGTCTCCCCAACATCCACCAGCTCAATGCCCAAGGAGTATATCAGCTAGAGACCCTAAAGCAAAGACAACATCTTATCTCTAGTGAAGGTCCTTTGATCAATATAGCCTGGACTGGACCATGATTATTCAACTTATATGATTTCTATATGCACCTAAGTCACCAGATTGTTTGGTGAAGTGGGACCATGGAGTAGGAATGAAACATCAGAGCACCATATTTGAAGAGGTCCAAACTTTTGAAACATGTTACATGTAATAAGCATATTTATTGTTAGTGAAGGGGTATTTCGGTCCTTGTACATGTAATAAGCATATTTTTTGAAACATATTTATTGTTAGTTCGAGTGCCTCTTACTTAAATAAGGGCACTTATGTCTTTTCCAATTATATTAATAATATAATAACAGGTCTGGCCGAAACTAGGGTTGACTTTTTCCTAATTCGAACCAGACCTTTTCTCTTCTTCTTCCTCTTTCTTCCTTCTTCTTTCCTCTCTTCCTTCTTGTTGTTTACTTTACTTTTCAACTAACAAACAAAACAGACTTCTAGGGCAGGCCGAACTTTAACATTTATTATATAACATTATATTAGTTTAAAGTGTAACACATGTAATATTTCCAAAATATTTGACCAATTTCCAAGTAAATTTGTTCTATGCAATAATAAGCATTGTCAGCTTGTGGTGGTGGTGGTGGGGAGGCAGACGTACAGATAAGATGATGAGCAAGATTTAAAAAGACAAAGGACTTTTTTAGTTGGTAGTTGACAGCTGTAGTGTTTGGAGAGGGAGGAGGTTTGTCCCACATCAGAGAGATTAGAAACTCTTACCAAAGGATGCTGCTATAAAAAAATTCTATCCTGTTCCTAAATAATAAAATGACTTTATTGAATCCCACTTCAAATGCAGTTTTAAAATTGTAAAATTTATATTCTGCAGTTTTAGGGGTGTAAGTATAGAAACTGTAGTTTACAGTGGAAATGTCCCCATGGACCTTTTTGGTGACTAAGATATGCCCTACCAGCAACAAAGAGCACAAGGTTGGCAAAAAAAAAAACAGCTAGACAACTCCCAAATGGTGCTTCAGTTCTGTAAATATACAATCTACTGACCCTGCAATAGCAGTGCATCCACATTGATACCACTAAGCTTGTCAACCAGGTTCTAATGAGCAACTAATGGTGATCAAATTCAGTAGAGCTTTGTAGATCTTTGTAGCTAAAAAATTCACTAGATCTTAGAAATTATATTTTCTTTCAGAAAATTCCTTAGTTCTTCTCCCCTCTAAGAGTGGCTACTGTGTGCAAAGATGTAAGAGTTAAGGTCCATATCCAGTTCACCCCTCCCAAGACCCCAGATAGTTGGGACCAGCATTGAGTAAAGGACTTTAATGGACATTCTTCTTCTCCCCATATATGCTCAATAAATTACCAACTCAAGTAAACTTCCACATGATCTTCCCTCTCAATGTATGTTAGAAAATGAAGCTAGCCTCAAACAAGGATATATCATAGTTACCTAATTCTGCACCTAAATATCCGATCTACAAATTGGTTTTGCAAGTCAATTCATATGAGTCTGAAAGGGAAGGAGACTGTGATTAGCTCCTGGATGAAAACTTCCAATAAAAATTTAACAAGCCAAAGATTTATCAGATATGTTATAAAGAAACCTATAATATAGCAAATTAGAAAATATCTGCTTGATTTCCTCCTAATATTTATGTAACTAAAATGGAACAATTAAATATTAAATATTAACAAATAAGGGGAAAACTACTATTATGCGCCACTACCCATCCATGAAAATTTTCAACCATAAAATTCTTCACACAGTAATCTGTTATATCTCAATTATTGTACTTTTTTTTAAGAGAAAGTAACCAGAATTTGAACCAAGCAAACTTGAAAAGCAGGGAACTGTAGATGGGATATCAGGAGGCCACCAATGAATGGAAAGGAGAGGCTAAGTGAACTGAAATCCCAGTTGCTTAAGGCGCACATCTAGGGAGACAAAGATTACATGCCTCTATATTGGAGAACCCCTTCGGTGTCAATTCATGTATTCCATATCCAATCAAAAAACACTCAATTTTGGCAGCTTAAAGCCTAAAATTCCGAGTTCAGCTTCAGTCAGGGCAAAGCCCATTCGAGAAGCCTTTATTGCCTTGCATTGAGAATATCTCCATACTGATGTGCTTTATTTCATGGGGAGATATTCCCAATGCAAGGTTGGGAAAGGCTGTTAGATCGGTGTGGGCTTACTTCTGATATCATTACCCATTCTGAACTCCATACCTAACTTCTTTGCTTCCTAAAACCTAGCATTAGCACCATAAGAAAAACTCCAATTTTTTCCGATAGAAACCCTAAAACCAAAACATCTATATCCTAGGTTAACAAACTTAGGACCACACATTTTGGTTTATGTGGCAAAGTGCCACTCAGGAACGAACAAATATTGGAACAAGAGATGTTACCTGCAGTCTGTTGCTATCCCCATAGACATCTACTAGTGTCACAGCACCCTGAACTACAAATAAGAACCTGAAAGAGTAGGAATAATAAATGATAAGAAAGTAAGATACAAAGCATAAGCAAAGATGATTGCTTAACATCATCATGCAAAAGTCAGGGATGCTTCACAAATTATTTGAAATAGATAGCAATTGTCAAATATGAATTTATGTGCAAAAATACAAACAAATTGAGGTAAATGGCCAAACCTCTCAACATCTTTAGGAGGTATTGCTGAGCTTGAATTCACTGCATGGTCAAAAGCATAAACTGAACTCATATATAACAAGAAAGAAAGTAACCAGACAAATTTGACCACTTAGTGGCAGATATGTCAGAGACGCCTACTTTTTGTTTCTTTTGATGGATAAACAGAATTATCCAAAATCCAAGACACACAAAAATTCATTTCCAAACAACAGAAACTACCTTTGCATTTATATGATTTGGAATTGTACAAATAAATGTGGTGCACAAAATCAATGCAGTTTTTGCTAATGCCAAACATGAAACAAATTGCTAGGTGATACGATTCTTGTCAGTTCCTTGGACCAGTAATGCAAGAAGAATAAAAGAAAGAAATGCTTTTTATCACCTGAAAATTTGACATATTTGTGCAGACTAGCATCGAAGTCTGGTATTCTTTTCAACAAGTCAGAGCAACTATGGTCAACGGTCCTATAAATATATTGCTGAGCATATATATATATATATATATATATATATATATATATATATATATGTGGTCAACAATCCTACATATGGGTCAAAGTAGTAGGAAATGATTTAAGTATTCATAATTTAATAACACATATGGCATTAAAGAAAACAAAACAGCAAATCAGGATTTATGTAGCCGACCCCATATGGTTGGAAAAAGGATTAGATGATGATGATAGTATGTATGTGTGTATACAAATTGGCCAGACAGTTAGAATAGAAAATTGGCTTAGTGTTTGTACTTCAGTAACCTTGGTAAGACACTGGGTGGCTTACTCATCCACACTTGACAGTTGACATTTGACCTTATGGTCAATTACATGCAGGACAGTTGATACACCCTAATTGGAAACTAAGAAAAATGACATTTGTTAAGGAACAGAAATGTTTTACTTATCAAATAAAAAGGAACAGAAACGTTTTCATGGTTAAATTTTTCAGTTATAATTTTTACCCATTTTACAGCAAAAACTTTATCTTCTGCTTCATTAACATAAAAATAAGTTTCACCGCAAAGGGGCGGAAGTAATAGCTGAAACATTTCAGTCTGGGAAAAAAAATCCCATAGCTTTTTGTATTGAAACAAATGAAGTCAAAAATAAATTTTAGGTGTGTTGGAATTTTGATGCACTTTTACAGGATGCCTTTATGTCAACAAAAATAATATAAATCACAAGTATGACTGAATTCCATTCAAGAAGACACCTTAATGTCAATCGAAAAAACAATATAATAGCAGTAACAATAAAACAACAGTAACATATATAATATCCACTGCAAATGCTAACAGACCTTGCATCTTTGCCAAATACATAACGAAGTGCGACCCCATAGCCGGAGTGATCAAATATGCTCCCAATGTATTGGTCCTGCCAAGGCAACAGAAAAACATTAAATTCATATATTAACTCGTCCTCAAAAACTGTTCATCATCTAACAGAAAAATTATCACCCGAGTTTGAATATTACCAGTCAGGCAGAGGGCTAAATACATGACTTTCCGGTGTAATTACTGCATGATCTCTCTTATACACGCTACGGGTGAAACCCGGCAAGTCTGTACGATCACTAAAATACGTTATACTGCATCAACATGCTTCAGTACAAATTAGAAATCTCAAAATTTGTCACTCGCTCTCAGTAAGTGAAGGAAACTTACGATGACTGTCACTTGCTTATTATTAATCTTACCAACATAAACAGACAGTTCTCGGAAGTTTGAAGTCGAGACGAGTAATTGAACCATATTGAAGTTGATCTCCATTTCCTTATTACTACTATTACAAACAAAAATTCACAGTTTCTCTAAGGTTTGATGAGAAATTGACCTTCAAGATGAGAAGGGGCAAGTGTAGGATTTGTGACTTTCCAATAGAGAGTTCTCGATTCCGTGTACGCAGGAGGTGCAGAACAGAATCCTTCTTGGCCAACTACCCATTTCAGCATCCCTGGACGAAACTCGAAAAGTAGATGAATCAATGATCGAAAGAACCGACAGAAAAAGGTTGAGAGAGAGAGAGAGAGAGAGAGGTGTTTAATCATTACCCAACGTTATGAGCAGCGCGTGGAGAACGTAATTAGATATTGCGAATGATTTATGCATTTCGAGAGTGTGATGGGGCCTCTGGGCTCCTGAACAATTTAGAGGCTAGTCTGGTCACTGGTGGAGTGGAGATAGGGAAATGGCCGCTCGTCACTGGTACTCTCCTGCTGTGTCTCTGCTTGTTAACGGAAACTAGCTAGTTTGTGTGGTGTGCTGTCTGCACTATGATTTCTTTGGTGGGAAGTGACTCAGTGTGCACGTGAACCTGGCAGTTGTTCTCAAGCGATTCGCGTGACGACACGCATTAATTATATCTTATATATGTTTTTCCTTTGAGCCTGACTACGATGACAATGATCATGGGGCGGACCGGATTAGCATTTTGATAAGGGTTATAATAGCCCGGGCCCGACAGAGCCTCGACGAGGCCTAAGATTAAAATTTAATATTTAATATCTATATTAAATAAATGGCATATAATAGATGTACAAAATTTATGAAATACTCTTTACTAAATTTGCGGCCCAACACAAGTCCTAGCCGATTCGACTGCGACTGGATTTGATCCTAACCCAATATAAATTTGAATATGGATTAGCTGTTCAACCGTCGGTCTGTGTAACCAATGATGAGGTTGTACATTAGTAATAAATTCATCGCCCTACTGTAAAAGGTGTGGGCCTCATCTATTTTCAATCAAACCTTGCTTTATAAAGGTACAAATACAAATATATGCATGTGAAGAAAATATAAGGTTCTAAAATATCGTATACAAGGTTTTGTACTGAATACATTTACATTAATACCCTTTTCAAATTGAGCCTAGGGTGTAAGAATTGCAGCATGAAGCAAAAATAAAAACGGGAATCAACAATACAATTGACATCTTTAATGAAAAGTAAACATACTATATGATAAGATTAATGTGATTTATTGACATATTGACTTGATAAATTGCAAATATTCGTTAATGCACCATAATTTGATTCATAATGGTATTGCTCTTGCATCTGGCACAAGCACGGTTACTCCTCAAATTGCAGGTGTTGGGAGAGCCAATTCTATAGCCCAAATGCCCAGCCTTCCAAGTCATGAATTTCAAGGACTAACCAAGCTAGGGTAGCCCATCCTCAGGCCCTGACATCCTATCAACTGAACCATCATCACTTGGTGATAGTGTGCTCATCAATCATATTAACATCTATTTAATTAGTTTTGAGATGGCTATGCCTCCTGCCTCCTGCCTCCTGCCTCCTGCCTCCTGCCACCTCCAATTTCTTTCTGGCCGATTCCAATTAAATAATAGTGGGCAGTTGGGAACCGACCTTGTTGTCAAAAGGCACAAAGCACAGTCTGAAAGCTCTTTTTTTCTTCTCAGATAGATGTCTTCATACATCAATAAGTCTTCATACATCAAATTGAATTTGGAATAGAATTGGCCTTTCAGTTACAGACCGCCGGTAATAATGCTTCTGAATTCTGGAAACAAGTTTGAAAACAAACGCCATCTTCTTTTTCACCTGAACAGGTTGTTGAATTAATAATCCATGTATAAGCACAACAAGGAGATGAGATACCTCGAAGCGTGGTTTAATTGAAACTTACCTTTAGGCTTTTGGATAAAGCATCCTTTATCTTAGTGGTAGTGGATCCAATAAGTTCCTTAGTCTTTTTTTTTGTTGTTGTTTTCTTCAAGATTTCGTTGAATCAAGATCTTCCAAAAGCACAGGCAAGCCGGAGCACTAAAGTATTTGCTTTTAATCTATCAAAGTAAAGCTTGTTATGGTATAGATAGCTTTGAGATTTTGAAGAGATAAAATAAAAAAAAAAAAAAAAAGGACCGATGGCTTGTAGTAATCATCAACTAATTATTCCGTGTTACCTTGGCTTTCAGACGTTGCTGGTTCTTGGAGGCTTGTTGTCTGGGGGGATGGACAGGTGTAGATGAGACTGGTGGTGCAGACTCCCTGAGGCACCGGGAGTAATGAAGAAGCTCGGCTCTTCTGTTGTATCCTCTACCAGCGGGAGAAGCACTCTTACCACATGTGAATCCTTGTTTGATGGAGTGATGAAGTTGATGGTTATGGCTTAACGAAGCTGAAGCTGAAGCTGTAGCTTTCCTCCTCGTTGGCTTCTCCACATACACAATCACCAACACCACCTTCTCTCCGAAGCACACAAACTGCAACTATTCCAAACCAATAACAATTCATCCATGTTGGTGTAATAAAAGAAAAGGGAAAGAGGTTACTATTTACCGTCGTTGGCATGGCTTCAAGAGAAACAGAGGAGAAGACAAGGAAGCAAGATTGTTGTGGATGCGTTTTTACTTGCAGGCCAGACAAGAAAATCCAAAGCAAATTCTTTGTTTGAATCAAAACTAATAAAACCCATTTGATTGTTTAAACAATAGGCAAACCAATCAGACAAATAAAAAACGTCATCTGTTAACTGTTCTGAGGCTAGACAAGACAACCGTGAACAGGCTGTGAATCCGATTTCCTCCCGACTGAAATCATTGAGGCACTCTTACAGGTTACAGCAGTTTACAGCCAGAGATTACCCAACACGTACAAATGCTTGCATATGGATGAATTGATTTGACACATGGTGGTTCAGTGAACAGCCACAAAGAACTGTGAAACAAACTCCATGGAAAAGCTCACATCACCACCACCACCACAGCACTACTTACGTTTACACCCCAACTAATCCCACTAGCTTGGAGGAGCAGCGACAGAATGCAGAAACCAGAAGGTGACACCGACAGTGTTAAAAGGGATTGAGGGAGAGCTAGTAACAGTGAGCAGTCCACCTCAACTGGGATGCTCTTCTTCACTCCTCTCCCTTTTGGAGGCCAAGTCTAATTGCCTTTCAAGCAAGGTTTCATGTATGATGTATCAAGTATCTAACATTCCTTTCTTTTCTTTGCTTGAACCTAGAGACAGACAGTAAGCAATCCACCTCAAAAGGAGAGTTTCCTTAGATTCTTGAAAACAAGTCTGATAGCCATAAGAGAAGGTGACAAGTTCATTCTATAATTTCAAGTCGCAAAGCTTAAGAATCATGAACATGGGCCGCTCAAATGAATGAGAATTTCTCAGTGGATTAATGTCAAATAGATTATGGTCCGTTTGCTTATCAGAATTGGAATTAGAATTGAAATTCTTTGAAATCGGAATTGGAATTCTCTATTGACTCTATTCTCATAGTCTGTTTGGTGAGAATTAAAATGGGAATTGAAATCATCTAGAATGGGATTTCATTCTCTAGAGAAGAGGGGGGAATGGTCATTCCCTCAAATGGCAAAATGTCATTTCACCAAGAATGAAAATGAGATTCCAATTCCACCCAACCAAACAGAATGACCCATTCTGATACTGATTCCAGACCTCTATTCCCATGAATCAAACGGGACCATACAATATAAGGTAGCACCGTAGCAAGGTATGTCATGACTCATGGGTGTTTGGTAAGTTGGGTCATGGGTATTTCATATATATCAATTTGACATGGCCAACCCACCAGCACATACCCCATAGGTCTCGAGACAAGCAAATGATTATGGCGTCAACAAAAAGATATGGTGGTAAGTCTTGTTGTTGTACAGGACTACAAGAGTAACGTCACGGCGCCTTCGTGAGTGGTAGTTGGGTTGCCTGGTCCAATTGATACAACTGTATTCGGGTTATTAAGCGTGGTCCGATTCATCCATGAAAGGAAATTATATAAAAATTCATACACAATTTACAAGACTTACCACCATATCTTTTTGTTGACGCCATAATCATTTGCTTGTCTCGAGACCTATGGGGTATGTGCTGGTGGGTTGGCCATGTCAAATTGATATATATGAAATAATATAAAATATTAAGGTTTTATAGATGCAAATGCAATGGAATTAATACACAATTTACACATTAACAAATACAACTGTAGTGTGGTGTGGTGTGGTGTGACCGTGTGGGCATTCTTCCTTTTTATTCTTTCCATGGTTTTTAAAACCGAACCGGTGATTAAATCGGTCTAGGTACGGTTACCGGTTCAAATGGTCCAACCATTTGATCCGAATAGTCGGCCCATTCTGACAAAAAAAAAATAGAAAACAGCCAAAACCGTTCGAACAGTTTGAACTATTAACCGGCCGGTTCAATGGTTTGCTGACCAAAATCAACGGTTTTAGGGAAAAAAGCAGTTTTGGGGGAAAACAGAACCGGTCAGGTGACCGGTTCCCGGTTTTTCCGGTCCAACATCCAGTCCGGTGCGGTCTTGAAAACCATGACTCTTTCTTTCCCTGTTGAACGCTTGAACTCTCTCAAGAGTTAAGAGCAGTATCAATCTCCTTTTACATCTGATCCCTGGCTAAATTGTTGAAATTGCAAGTTCCTTGCACAGCAGCGCATGTTCAGGCATTCAGCTCCTTTTGCTGTAAACATCCTTAGACAGATTAAATCCGTCCTTCACCATTAACCCCTTCCTACACCCACCATAGAACCTAATTCAGCATCCTCTTTACCGAAGCACCATCAGAACCGTGTGAAACACCCCTATCACCACAAATCTATTCCAGAAATGGCCAATGTTGTGTGCATGCAACTAGAGCCTTCAATATTGAAAAACCAATGCAGATGGCCAGCGCTCTTTAACCATTTTTTCCTACTACAAGAATATAAAAAAGACAAGAAACTCAATACCTGGACCAAGAATTTGGAGTCAAGACAATAGTGACCTGTCTTTCAAGACTTGGAACTAGACCACTTCTAACGTCTACACTATTAAAAATGAGAACAAAATTTAACAAACTGCTCTACCATTTGAACCCAGAAATCAAGGAAAATCGGGAAATTTTAAAATCTAGAAAAATATGAACTCTCCAAGATTTTTTTTTTTTTTGGAACAATAGCGGGGGTGGCAGACTACTACGGCACTACAACCATGGAACCCACTTGGAATTTTTTCCATATACAAGTATTGGAGATCATCTTTTTTCTTATACAAACCATGAAACCATCGTTTCAGTTTCCCCTGCAAATGATCCAACTCCCTAATGTATGTCTGGTACAAAATGGAATACCCTTTTTCTCACCTTAACCACTTGCAAATTGCAAGGCCTTGCAGAAATATGGTAACCATCACTAAGTATGAATATGAAGGTTAAATAAACAAGAGAAGCATCTTTTGAGGCCAAGAACACATTCAAAGCAATTGTCTAGATACATGATAATTAATTGAAGCTAAACCAAAAGAGTGCCGTAGAATCTGAAATCTTGAGTGTTGCGCATTGAGCAGCCTTCAACATCTTAATTCCATGAATAGTGGGCGTTCACTTTCAAAACTTCGTTTCATCACCTTTACATGAACTGCTGTAAAATTCCCAATCAACTTCAGAGACCACGTTCTCACATATTACAAGTACCTTAAGTAGGGAATTAACCTTCTTTCCTGTAATCACCAAGGTTTGCATCAGATTGCTTCATTTCCCATGGCCATTTATAGGGGAAAATTATTGATTTTTTCGGTTAAAGGGAAAATTGAACAAATTAGAAAAAAAAATTATTTCAGTTGCAGGAAAGAAATGCCTTTACCTTTTTTGTTTTTAAATTACCATCATTGATAAGATACACTTCAGAATAAGGATTAAACTAACAAATTGCTAAGGGCATTTTCCCTTCTTCACAAATTAACTTTTGCTCAGTTCTTAAGTATCCTAATGTCATTTCCGTAACCACCTCAATTCTTCAAGATGGAAATGTGCCAAACCCTTAAGGCCAAAAATCCTCGCCGTTAAAGAAGGTTAAGGATGAGACTTCAAACTCTTGGCAGTGGTCCCATTAATCAAGGAAATTAGGTGCCTTGCCTATGGCTTGAATTTCTTGTTTAGAGCATACCCAAAGATCCTAAAAGATACCAATAACTCTTTGAATAGCCAGATTGGCCTTCCAATGTAGACGGACTGTGTTATTTTTTCCTGTATACTCTCACATACTCTTCACTTAAAATAATTATTCTAATCCATCAAAAGAAAATTGCAATGGAAAAGTGTGTGTGTGTGTACATGCATCCATATTTGATAAGAAATGAAAAAAGTATAATTTCTAATAAAAGACATTCACTTATTTAATCAAGAACTGGTAAGGATAAAGAATGTACTTTCTCTTTCTTCGGTCAATCCCACTGTTTCGGGGGTCGTTTTTTGAGAGAGTAGGACCAGGTGGCAAGCCATATGGCATAGGAGAAAGGGCAGAAGCAGGAGGTGCAGCAGGAGCAGGGACTGGGACAAGGACAGGGGCAGGCGAAGCAGCAACAGGAACATTTGTAGCTGGCAGAGGTGCTGGAGGTGGAATTGGTGCTGGAGGTGCAGCAACAGGTTCAGGAAGAGGCCGCGGTAAAATGTGCTTCAACCGGTTGTTCCTGTAGTTCTTCCAGAAAAAGAATTGTTGCCTATGTGCTATCTCCTAAATTCCAACAAAAAAGAATTATATTCAGAACTTTGGCCACATGGACATTTTTCCCATGATTACATACAAGTAAAATATATATGCATGTATTTGCTATGAATACAATTTTTAAATTCCTTTCTGCTCAAACATATGATACCTTGATACGTGTACAAGGATGCTGTATCTTGTCTGATATTTCAATTTTTAGTACAAATTCCATATCTGACACTATATTCATGTAAGCATAGGCTCAGATTTGTATGTTTCTTACTATATCTGAAGATCCCAAATACCAAATTTCTTGATTCATCAGAATTTTAGAACATGCAAACTTCATGGCTGAAGAATTTAATTTATCATTCTTTGATTCTTTCAATTACCAGTAATGGAAAATGAATTATGTTCAAAAATGAAAAGAAAGTGAACAAGACTGAATACAAAAACCATTACTCATGAGAAAACAGCAAATCTGGCACTACTAAGATCTGAAAATGGGTCTCCTCTAAATAGGACAATCATAATCATTATTTTTATTGTTAATGACATCCAAGCTTATGGAAACAAAGAATTCTATAATTAGGAAAACTAACCTGTCATTTCGTGGTAGTAATGGTAACAATCGCAAGGAAGAATTTACAAAGATAGTAACTACTATCATCCACAACAAGAGCACAAGAGGTAGCAATCAGAACCTACCGACAGATATTGATGGATGCACACATTACCAATTTCTGACCTTATTAGTCATTAAAGCCCACCTTCCATAGTCATCAAAAATCAGCATTTCCTTTCTTTTTAACAGATGTCAATGCTAACCAACAAGAAGCTATTAGATTCCCAAGTACAAAGTGGCTCAAGTGTTAGAGGAGCTATTTTGCTATAGTTTCTAGTTTTGTTTTGTCTCCAATCTTTATACCTTAAGGCTGGTTTGTGGCTATACCAATACGTTTCTTTGGTTTTGGCGCTTCCATTTTCTGATAATTTTTTGTCACCAGTTTAAAAAAAAAAAAAAAAAAGCATTTATTTTGGGTTTTGATTTGTTTTCCCCTGTTAAGCATACAAGCATGGAATTTACCATAGATTGGGATCTGTCAATCAAGCAGACCAACAAAATTTCCCATCTAAAATAATCATAAATGAGAGGAAACCCAACCTTTTGGTCTTGGTAGTGTTAAGATTGCACCTTGCAATGCAATATTTATCTGCTTTATAAATTTTGATGGTTGGAGGAAACTATAATGATTGTTATTTCGATGCTAGTCTATTAAATTTCACTTGACATATACAAACATATCAACCTTGTTGTACAAGGTCATTTCCTTTGTGCAGTAACTTAGGCCTGGAAAGGGTGGTGATGTGTATTATATCATTCATAAAATTAAACAGAGAAACCCATGTTTTTCCTAAAATCTTTTTTTGATAGATCATGTTTTTCCTAATATCAAATCAAACCAAAAAGAGAATTTACACTATTGTAAATTCTTGTTTGAAACTTTCACATTTCAGATTGCCCAAAATTTCCCTGCATGTGAGTAACGCCATACAATCTATTCCTTTTGAACAGGTTCTAGAAAAATTAACAAGTAAATAAATAGGGCACTCTTCCAATTAGATGAGAAACCTAGTAAAACCTTGCTGCCTGGATGGGCCATTGCATTGCGGAAGTTTGAATTCTGCAGAAGTTCAAGAAAGAACAGGCAATGTGGATACCTGAAACCATTGAAGCAAAAATGTATCAAGATTTAAATAGGAAATCCTAACCTAAATGGATAATATAGGAAGTGATAATGAGCAAAGAACAATAACTATTAGACTACTAGGACCTCAAATCAATCAAAAAATGTTGAACTTCATAAGAACAAAAATAATTTGTTTTTAATCTGAGGAAGTGAAGTAAGAATTTGAATTAATTTTCAAAAATAACTCACATTATAAACTTTACATATTCTGGCCGCTGCCAGTATTGAAGGTACTTCAAATAGCCTATGAAAGCTTCATCTTCAAAATAACGGTTCTGAGCCAAATCTGCATTAGAGACAATAAATAAACAAATAAAGCTCAAACAAAAACCAATGAAAGCAAATTAAGGAGGTACTAATGCAAAATTTTAAATCCTTGAGAACCAAAACTCACTTAACAGTTCACATAGAACCAAGTAACAAAATTAAGATATTGGCAATGTATAACAGAAACAAATAATTAAAAAAAATTCAACTGGTAAAGGTGGCTTTCTATAATAAGCACAATTTACAAGATACAATAATTGTATATTTTTTATTATAAGTTAGGGGAATTAAAAATCATACCAAGACATTTCCTTTTTATAAATAAAAAAGAACTTAACTAAAAGAGAGGAGAAAAAAAAAAGAAACAGAAAGATTGCTTAGTTTGTCCTCCCTTCCATAATCTCAGTCTCAAGGGGCATTTGTAAAGGATAGGCAAGTCATTGACCAGATTTTAATCGCAAATGAAAGTGTTGAGGAGATGAAAGGGGTTGGAAGGGAAAGGCTTTGTTTGTAAGTTGGACCTTGAAAAGGCTTATGATATGGTATGATTGGGGTTTTCTATTGGAGGTAATGAAAATTTTTGGCTTTCACATGAAAGATGGTGCAAATGGATTCTGGGTTGTCAGGACTTGCCATTACTCAACTTTGGTGAATCAAACTATGGTGGATCATTTTCCAACCCTCAAAGGCCTAAGACAAAGGGATCTCTCTCTCTCCCCTTTTCTCTTCACCTCGGAAGATTAATCTCTAGGGCTGATTCTGGAAATTTAATAATGGGTGGAGAGTAGGCAAAGATGAGGTGCCAACCACTCACCTACAATTTGTTGATGATACAATTCTTTCTTTGTGAAGGAGGTACTGTTAGATGGTTGAAAAACCTAAAGATGATTGTTCAAGATTTTAAGCAAATGTCTAATCTGAAAATCAATTTTGATAATAGTTGTGTTGTGGGGTTAAATATAGAAGAAAGGGAGATCTCATAGGGAGCAAAAATTTTGGGTTGTGTGGTTGACTGATTTCTCAATGGCCTATGCCTTATTTGGTGTTACCTTTGGGGGATAAACCAAGAGGTAGTAAACTTTGGAACCTATGATTGAAAGATTCACAAAGACACTGGCATATTAGAAGAGTAGTCACTTACCTTTGGGAGGAAAGATCACCCCAATTAGGTCTACACTAGCCAATTTGCTTGTTTATTTTCTGTCAGTGTTTAGGATTTGAGTAGAAGGCTAGAAAAGATGATGAGGAACTTTATATGGGGGCCAGGGAGGAGAAGAAGGTTTACAGAGTAAGCTAGAAAGTGGTTTGTAGAAGCAATAAGTTTGGTGGCTTAGGTCTTGGGAATATTCAGGAAAGGAATATTGCTTTGTTGGGGAAGTGGTTGTGGAGATTGCCAATTGACAAAGATAAACTATGGACAAAGGTGATCATTAGCATCCATGGGCTTGTGGCTGACAATTAGGATACTAGACTTCTGGCTAGAGCTACAAGAGCTTCTCCCTGAAAATCCATTCATGCCATCCTGCCTTCGTTCTTGCCATCCATTAGGTATAATCCTTGTTCTGGGAAATATTGTCAAATTTTGAGAACATGTTTGGTTGGACAACTCAACCCTAAAGGCAAAATTCCCCTCCCTTTATGCCCAACCAACCATAGGGATGAGCCTATTTCTTCTTTCTTGGCCCCTTCTAACTCAAGGGCTAAATTTTTTATTGGGACTTGGGCTAGTCAGATTTGTTATGAATTTTCTTCAAGGTCTTGAAGGGGTGCTCTTGGATCCTTCAAAAAGGGATAGTCGAATTTGGACTATTTTTTCTATAATAACAAGAAATTTTCATTAAAAAAGGATCATTACAAACAATCTAATTTTGAGAGGGCACCAAAAAAATTACAGAAAACTCTCAAGAATACATTCCTGAATTTCAATAGCATCTCAGAAATTAGACCCCAAATCTGAGGGATTCATTCATGCAAATTTAAGTAAGATGTGCACCCAATCAATGACAGCCTTCCAAAGATGCCAGAATCTTCTCCGTCTCCCACTGTTTAACTTCAAACACCCTTCTATTTATTTCTCTCCATATGGTCCAAAATGACCTCCTCCAGCTCCTCCCAGAAATCTTCCTTCCTTTCATCGTTTGATCCATAAACATGAGTGGTGCCCCAGCACCACACCCCCTACAGCCTTAAAACAAGTAAAAACTAAGAATTCCCCCACCTATCCCACTTTCAAATGCACACTAGAGTCCCAAATTGTCACTAATCCCCCTATTGAGACTAACTCCATTAAGCTCCAGAAAATCCCCGCAACTTGAACCCCAAATTTCAGACTTGTCCCTCACATCGAAACTCTCCTGCTTTGTTTCTTGAAGACATACCACATCTAGCTTGAACTTTCTGATAAGATTTCTCCCCACCACCCTCCCCTGGTCTTCCCTCAAGCCCTGAACATTCCATGACAAAATTCTCACCCCCCCCTTTCTTTTTTCTTTTCCTTCAGACTTCCCCTTCAAAGGCTTCCTCCTAATTCTCCCCTTCATCTCAGGCCTCACCCCACTTTTAATGATGATAAAACAGGAAGAAGTACATGAGTGGATGTACTGAAAACTAAAGCAGCTAAAGCAGAATTACAGAGGTAAACAGATGTCACTAAACAAGCTTCCTCTGAAAACCCCTGCTTTTGCAAGGCTATCAGCAACAGTGTTTTGCTCCCTAGGAATCCAGACCAGATTCACATTCATAGACTCCAAGATCTTCAGCTAGCAGATGTGCAAGTCTTCAAGGCCCTCCTTCTCCCTTAGCCAGGCTATAGTATTTGCAGAGTCCCCTTTGATAGTTAAAGAGAATAATCCTAGCTGTTTGGCAAACCGAATTCCTGTTAAGTGCAGACAATACCTCTGCCTTTGTAGCACAGCCCTCCCAATCGGACCACTATATACCCAGGCAAATCCCCCTCTCCCCATGGATTACACCTCCAATTCCTACTTGACCAGTAGAGCCTTGGGCACTGCCGTCAAAGTTTAAGGTCATCACACCATCTTCTCTAACAAGGTTTCTCATGATCGACTCAGATCTTGGAGAGGACTGCAGGATAGCTGGAAGGTTGATCTGAAGGTCATTTAAGGAAAGGCCTTTGAAAACTTCAGAGTTAACCACCCAAAGATTGCAGGGGAAAGTTATGTAAGAAGTTAGGCCTTTAACATTTCTGGTTTTGTTTTCAAAAGTTCCGTTGTTCCTTTCTACCCATATACCCCATAGGACTGCATGGGTCACCGTACTCCAGTATAACCTTCCTCTTTTTCCTAAACCTTTGCCTTTCCATTGCCACAGGAGGTCCACCACCTTCCCTACCCAGATGTAGCCAACTAAGTTTAGGAAGAAACACCAAACCTTCCTTGTGACAGGACAGTGGAGAAGGATGTGATCAGCGGTCTCTCCATCGCCAAGGCAAAGAGGACATACATGGGGGGAGAAACATAATCTGCCTCTAAGATTTTTCAGGATCAGGTCACAAGTGTTTATTTTCGTTAAGCAGGCTTCCCAAACAAAGAAGGAAACTCTAAGTGGGATATGTGAGCTCCAGATATATCACATATCCACTCTCCTCTCACCCACTCTTTCTCCAATCAACAATGAACTCCTTCCTCCCTTCTTAGCCCCCTTTTCTCCCACCCCTGCCCTGCATTGCTTTCCCCCTCCCCAACTCCCCCTCCTCTCTCTTAACCTCCTTCCCACCTGTTGTTAGAACCTTTCCCCCTTGCCACCACTCCCTTCACACTCACCCCTATTCTCAACCAAAGCAACCTCAGGAGATACAGGGACATAACTTGCCTCTTTTTTTATCAATAACTAGACATTTTATTAATTATGAAAGAAGGATGGTACAATGCAATAAATACAGTCAGACTGTGAGAGATAAAACCTCTTATCTCTCCCCCATGCAATTAGATCCCATACAGTTATGCCCCAAATAATGAATCACTCTCCACCCCTTGTTTAGCTAAGGCATCTTCTACAGAAATAGTAGATCTCTTAACCCACCCAACAATTATTTCCATATCTCTGGTTGGCCACCTGGTCTTCTTCCTTTCATTGTTGAAAAGCCACAGCTTTTGACCCCCCCCCCATCTTGTAACCAGCTAATCACCAGTTTGGAGTCTCCTTCCACAAATAGCTTTTGAATGTTCATTAGCTTTGCCTTTTGAATGCCTTCCACTACTGCTAACACTTCTGTAGGAAGGGAGGAGGTTCCCTTATCACTTTTTGAAAACTACTGCTAACACTTCTGCTCTCAGGGAATCTCCTTGAGAGCAGAAGTGTTGATTAGACAAGTAGTAGTAGTAGTAGTAGTAGTAGTAGTTCTTCAAAAAGTGATAAGGGAACCTCCTCCCTTCCTACTCTCCACCCTCTTACCAAATTCCTTGAGTCTGCTCTATGGATCAATCTCCCAAGCACATCAACAACCAGGGTGAAAAGAAATGGGGAAAGAGGATCTCCTTGTCTTAGACCTCTCAACGCAGGAAATAAGTCAACCACAGTCCCATTCACCAGGATAGAATAATGACAAGTCCTAACRCARCCCCAAATCCAYTTAYACCACCTGTCTCCAAAACCAAAACTCCTCAACACCTCCATCAAGAAAGAC